TCCCTCACTAGGAGGCAGCCTGAGCTCAGGGTCTCCTTCCTCTGCTTCCCACCACCCCAACTGGAGGTGTTCCAGCTGTTAGCCCCCCAAACTGGCAGCAACATCAGAGAAGTAAGGATGATAATGAGGTGCCATCTTTACTTCTGTGGGTAGCATTGCCTTCAGAGCTGAGATATAGTATGCATAGTTGGAGGGCAGGGATGATGCTTACAGGTCCACTAGGGAGCAAACAATGTGGAGAGGCAAGGCATCAGAGTCTCTGGGGTGGCCTGGCACTCACAGCAGGGGTTGGGCCCCCTCTGTACTCACTGGCAGCATTGGAGGGAATTGGAGGGACGTGGCTCCCAGCTGCATCACTCCATTTCCTACCGGGAAGTGTAGGGAGTGATCCTGCCCTTCTCCTGAGCAACACAGCCAACAGCTAAGGCTACATCCCTCCACTTCTCCCCCCACACTCCCACTCCTGGGCTACATCTACACTGGCATGTGCGTTTGTGCAAGAGATGTGCTTTTGCGCAAGAGCATCCATGCCAGTGTAGACACAAGAAAGCTTTGATGGCCATTTTAACCACAGGGCTTTCTTACGCAAGAAATTCATGTTGCCTGTCTACACTGGCTTCTTGCGCAAGGACAGTTGCACAAGAGGGCTTATTCCTGAGCGGGAGCATCAGAGTTCTTGCACAAGAACTCTTTTGCGGAAGAGTTCTTGTGCAAGAACTCTGATGCTCCCGCTCAGGAATAAGCCCTCTTGTGCAACTGTACTTGCGCAAGAACTCGCGGCCAGCGTAGCCAGGCAGCAAGTTTTTGTGCAAAAGCGGCTGGTTTTGTGCAAGATCACGCCAATGTAGACACAGCCCCATTGTTGCCAGTGAGTGCAGGGGAGGGCCTGACCCCTGCTGCTGGTGCCAGACCTCCACTAATCTCTCAGGTTGTGTCACTTGGGGAGGGGAGTTGGGGGAAGAGGCAGGAAGGGGGTAGAGAGAGGGTTGTCCGGGCCCTCTCCCAAGCTGGGTGACTCAGGGAGGAGTCACATGGAGGGGCCATCACATGACCAGTGACACCCCTGAATTCCTCCTCAGCAGTCGCCCATGCTAGAGGGGGTGGCATAAATGACTACAGACACAAAAAAGGGGGCTAATTTGTCAAGTCATTCTCTAATCTAGCTTGTACATGCAAAATTTAAAAGCTATTAAAAATTAGACTTACTTTGAGTTTAAGTTAATAGGGAAAAAAAGCTGAAACTGGCTGATCCTTGATTTAAATTAAGTGCTGTATTAGTTGTAAATAAATTTGCTTTTTCAACATGAATATTGCATAGAAGTGGTAAAAGCAACAAATCATTAATGGTGCAAAATACTGAAAAATACATTAATCAAAAATACAAAAATAGTTAGGAAAGGAAAAGATCTTTTTGATTTGATTAATCATATTTTCTGCATTCAAAGTAAAGCACAATTTTAAAATATAATCTTCAGCTAAACTACCAAACTAGCCATTTCTTATAAAGGCATTTTTGTTAGTGACTTAGCATATGCATGTAAGACCATCTGAGTATCCTTATGTTGGATGTACAATTCTGTACATCCTTAGGACACATTTAAAATGTGGTTTTAGCCAATTTTAGAATCAAGTCCATTATGTTTTCTATTTATCCTGGACATTCCAAAAACAAAAAAGCCATGAATTGTGTAACAAAATTAACTCAAAACAGATGGAATGAAAGTAAATTTCAGCATGCACAGAGCTACCATTTCATGGCTGTATAAATATTGACCCGTTGGTGTTTTTACATTACAGCTGAAGGTGATTTGAAACTTCCTAAGCTCAAAGCCACATCAGAAGAGATGAAGCTTTTCATATATGGTGCTTACTATCTACATTATAGTTTATCAGGGGAAAAAACCTTCCTAACAGTTAAGTATACAATACAAATTCTTGTCTGCTTTCAGGCTCATTTGAGTGACACAGGACTGACTTTATGAACCCACTATTTGGGATGTACTGATTTTACATGCTCTTGTAATTCTGCCAGATAAAATATGCAGCAGCCATAGCAGTCTAGCTAACATGGGCTACTAAAATGATGAAGGATCCTCCACTTTCTATAATTAATTTCTTTTAAACATCCATGTAGGAAAATAGAGTGGATTTTTACAGTTCTACTGGCCTTGAAGTTGACTATCAATTCACTGATGTCACCATGCACAGAGGAAGTTTTAAGTTTTACAAGGTTTAACATAAAAATGAGCAACAGCAATACATTTTTTTATAATAGTTTTTTTAGAAATGAGCTGAGAGATGAGTGACTAATTCATGGTATTTGACAAATTCTCTTACATGTCTGGTTATAAGTTGTCCAAGAGTAGCTTATTCATCGACTTGGGTGGTCAAAACTTGCATAGTCTCACTGAAGTCTATGAAGCTTAGTCAGTTTACACTAGTTGAGAGTCCAGGCCTGGATTCTCAGATATATAGGGGCCTAACTCCAGTCCAAGGGAATTAGGCATCCAGATACATATAAGGATCTAGATTTTAGCCCTCTCTCAAGATAAGAGATTATTGTGATCTTTCTTTCTCTGATACTTAAATGGTTCCCATTTCCATAGTATCTAAGTACCTCATGGCACCCTTGTGATAGTTATCTAGCCTGACCTCCTGCATAACAGATCATTGAATTTCATGCAGTAAATTCTACACTGATCCCAATAACTTGTGGTGGAACCAAAGCATATCTTTTAGAAAGACATGCAATCGTAAAGACTGCAGGTGATAGCGGCTCCCTTGATAAGCTGTTTTAATGATGAATTACTCAGAATTAAAAATGGTGGGCATGTTTTCCATTCTAAAGTTTTCTAGCTTCAGCTTTCAGCCACCATATCTCTTTGTACCTTTGGCTGCTAGGTAATGGAGTTCTTCTAGTAACAGAAGTCTTCTATGTTAAGCATCATTTTTCTCTTCTTTATTTGCTACTTAAAATGCCTTGCAGAATATTGTCTCTCAATGATTCTTTATCCAAGTCATTCATGGTCATTTTATTGTAGATATTTAACATTTGCCATTCAAAATTGGAGCTGTGTTAGTTAGTTTTATTAGAATCTGGCTTATATAGCATGATTTTGCTTCTGAGTGGATAAGTTGTTAACCTTAAAATTAGATTGTCAGTGAAAATATTCATATTTGAGTCCAAAATTACTTTCCCTGAATGTTCCTTAATATTTTTATAGTTTCTTTCCAAAAGTGTGCTTACTAGTGCACTAATTTGCTGTGCTATTCTTGAAAAGTCAATAAAAGTGAAGTGCCAACAGTCAAAACAAATTCAATTTATCTGAATATAGAATATGTTTGTCCTGCCCTAAATTAGTCCATAGCAGTAGGACTATATCCTAAAGTCAGTAGGTTCATGCGTGTTTATAAGATATCACTAAAACAATAATAAACTTTCCCTGTGAAAGTCCATTGTCCTTAGAATGTCCTGCCTTTTATCAACTACATGTCTGTCTCTAGCCCACTTGTCTCTCTCTATATTACTTTGTGTGTTTTTGCAGACATTCTTTATTCTCTCAGCTCTGCCATGTAATCTACTACATAGTTCTGAATTAATCTTTTTAACCTATTGATTCAGTATGTTAAACATTCTTGTGTGTTTCTGAAAACAAACACATTTAGATCCTGATTCACGAAAGCATGTGCTTAATGTTACATATGTGCTGATGTGCTGTCCTGATGAATAATGCTTTCCTGAATCAGAGCCATAAAAAAGAAAAGAATCACTCTTTCTTTCTCTGTTTATATTATGAACTATATTATAGTCTTCTCTTTCCTGTGTTGCAATTTAGTTAGCCCTGATAATAGCAACTCCTCAGCAACATTCCTGCCCACTGACTCATTAGAGACTTAAGTTTCAACATTACAGAATTTAATAGCAAAACCAATCTTGCTCTGGAAAAGGCTGTGGATTTTTTTGCATCAGCTAGGAAGATTTAACTATCAAAAGTTGTGTCTAGAGTAAAGGTAAAGATGGTAGGTGGGCTTGAGGTTGTAAGCAAGGATTTGGGGTGCTTTCTACAGAGCTGAGTAAAAACTGACTTTTTGAAGCAATAATGTTTTGTTTTAATGATCTCTAATGGTGTGATATTAAGGGTGGATCTAGATATTTTGCTAAAAGTTATGTTATTCAATAAACTCTAAATTACAATCTGTAGTCATAAAATATATTTTAATACATTGATGTACAAACTATGGCAAGACTGTTTTAGATCTTTTAATGGGCTAAATGATTGACTGTATTTCAGAAAAATTAGGTGTATTTCCATAGATATGATTACCTAATATAAAACAGTGCAGAGCTTGAATAATGGAGTAATTATTACTTTGTTCATGAAAGCAGTTTCACTTTTAATATTTCTTAAGAATGAAAGGAGAAAAATATTTTCCTGCAAGTCATATACTGACCAATTTACATTTCTGGCAGGAAACTTCACTTCCCTGCAAAGATTCTTGCTTATTATTATTTTATATGTTTAGTTGTTCTTGGCACTGTACATACACAGATGATCAGCACAAACCTCACATAGCTTACAATCTACAGAATTCAGGGAGGCAAAAACAAAACTAAACCACATGTTGCGAGTTCAATATTTTAGCAGTGCAGGTTTTTTTATGGTATTAATGTCTATTTGGTAGATTACCATCGAAGGACATTCAAGGATAAGTCAATTTTAGGAGGCATTTGAACTGAGGGAAAGTCCGACATAAACAGTGGGAGGAAATTCAATGCATAAGGATGGCATGGAAGAAGGCAGTTTAAATACACCTACCTGATGGTGGTGACAGTAGCAATGGGTGGCTGTTACTGCTGCTTCTTCAGAGAAATAGTTTAAAATCACCCAGAGAGCCATATTCTTCTCCCTGCAATATCTTAATTACAGTGTATGGGTACTATTATCTTCTCATGGATGGAACATCAAGTTTTTGCTATAATCCTTAATGCTGCTTTACCTAACGATGATTCTCCTTTGCCTCTCGTGCTACTAATCTGTGCCTTCAGATAAGAACAACTTTCTTTAAGTTTTTGTCTTCACATGTGGCTCTTCATGCTATGTGGAAGATTGAGGACAGTGAATCGGAAAGATCTGTCATTAACTGTGAAGGGCTTTTGGGGGAAGAGCTCTTATATGTATAATTTCTGTTTTCTTTATGGGCAAATGTTGTTAAAGGGAAAATCTTTATAATTATTCAGCACATTATCTTTTTGGAGTCACTGAAGTCAGCAACAGAAAAATATTCACTAAAATCACGTGACTGATTTCAACTGTGTTATGCATAGTTATTTAATAATGTGGCAGCTTTATTGGAATAAATATATTTGCTTGCTGTTTTAATATGTGAATATTTATTTGTAATCATTGACTCTAGTGTAGGGAGATACTTTCTTGATGAATTGTTTTACCTTGTAAGGGCATTTCTTATTAAGTTTTAAATAGCTATGTAAAATGAATTTAACTGTTTAACTAGGCAAGGAGATTAGCTTCAAGATATAGCCTCTCAGGTTATCTGGAGTGGCTCATGATTGTGAGTGCTAACCTCAGGGCAAACTGTCAAAACAGGGACAACATCCCAAACTGGTGGTATGGCTATAATTAGATTTCAGTAAGCCAATGTCTAATATGAACTCCTTGATCACTGTAACAGTCTCATCATGGTTTCATAGATAGTGCCCATAGACACTCTAGTGTCTCTGGCAGTCCATTTTCTCTCTGATTGTTATGTTTCTATGACTCAATAAATAATTTGTTTTGAAGAAGGTGTCTGTCACTGCATTTTCATACAGGTCACCACTCTGAAAGGAAGTTTTGAACAGGTGCCAAACTTGGTTGAGCCAGCTAAGGGAACAGAATCTGTAACTTGCAAACCTAGTCTAAAAGTGGGCAGAATCACATAAATCCAACCTGAAAGACAGAGAGGTCAAAATTATAGCTAATCCTGAACCATGACCTTTTGTTAATAAAAATCAGTGAGGCTACAGGATCCTGCTGCAAGTTATATTGCAAGGGACATTTAGGCACAATAGGAGCAGTTACATTACACATTAAATGCCCAATTCCGCAACCTGGATTCATAAGTGATCTCATTTATCTTACATGTATTTGAAATAAGAAGAAATAAAATATAAGGAAGCAAAGCCAAAGAGGCATATTTTATACCAGTGATCTTACCATTGACCCCTTTCCTGGCTGTGCTAGAGCTGATATAGACAGAGTTGTATTCCATTGAGTTTCCAACTCCAGTCTTTGTGCACCTTTCCATGAAAGAGTTTCCATTTAAAATTAGTGATCTTCTCAACAGATTTCAGAGGGATAGCCATGTTAGTCTGTGTCAGCAAAAACAACAATCAGTTGGGTGACACTGTGAAGACTAACAAATTTATTAGGGCATAAGCTTTTGTGAGCTACAACTCACTCGTATGCTGAAGAGAAAAAAAAAGAAAAAGGAAGGGATAGCAATATGACCTCAGTGCTAATTAAATCAGAATGGACATGGGTCATCTCTAACAGTGATGAGAAGACAAAAGACAGAACTATGTAGCACTTTAAAGACTAACAAGATGGTTTAATAGGTGATGAGCTTTCGTGGGCCAGATCCACTTCCTCAGATCATATTCTGAAAGAGAAATGGCATGACCATATATACCAAAGGAATACAATAAAAAAAGCAAACACATTATTAAACTGACAAATCAGATTTAGAACAGAAGGTGGGTCGAGGGAGAGAGGTAATAGCTGTTTGTAAGTAAATGAATGGCTAATCAGGGGTGATAAGTGGGGAAGCTGTCTTTATAATGTGTAATTAATTACCTCATCACTCCTGATTAGTGATATGGTATATATGGTTATGCCAATTTTCTGCCACAATTTGATCTGAGGAAGTGGGTCTGGCCCACGAAAGCTCATCATCTAATGAACCATCTTGTTAGTCTTTAAAGTGCTGCATAGTCCTGTCTTTTGTTTCAGCAAGACCAGACTAACATGGCTACATCTCTATTACTTACTTTACATGAAATTGTGAGGCTAATTTTATTAATGTTGAGCTATGATGACATTATGATCTTATATTATACTATGATATTAGAATACAACTCAAGTAAAGCAGTTGAAAATTTCATATATTGTATAGTACAACATATTCCCAGCAATTTTTTTCAAATGCAGTTCTTATGTAGAGTAGCCAGTTTTGGTTGTATGTGTTCCGAGATGTTTCATCACTTAATATAATCTTTAATTAAAACTTTAATTTTTGGGAACTCCAAGCAACCATACTCTTGTCATCAGTGGAATAGAAGTTAAATATGACACAGTTTCGATTCTAGATACTTCTAAAAATAATTATGTGGCAGATGTATTAAAAGTGACATGTTAAGGGGTGGGGGATGATTTTATGCTACTTTTGTTGCTTGTTCATGATATATGAAGAGAGTCTAGAATTTTCTGCCCTGACCCCAAAATAGTTTTTCCTACTTATTTTAAATATAGTGAAAAGGTTACTTTCAGGATTTCATTGTTTTGTTTTTTTGTTTGCAGTTTCCTCAGAATGAAGATTTTGAAACTGTTTAATTTTGTACTTGCAAATTGTTTAATAATGGTCATTGGCAACTCGGTAAGTTTTACTAATTGTAATCATATTTATAATGACTTTATTTCTAACAGTGTAACTTTTTCTTGACTTCATCTGCATTATTCTTATGTCTAATTTTTCCTCTAGCAATGGGTTAACTTCTAAAAGTTCATAGGGATAGTTTGGAGGAGCACCCAGAAGTTTGGGCAACATAAACATCCAAATTAGCCACATTCCTTGGATTTGAAAGTCTCTTGGATTGAGCTTTCTGAGAGGGGACTTCTGGGGCAATACTTTCTGTTGTGGCTGGGCTAGAATTTTGTCAAATTTCTGTATTCTGGCACTTCCATTTCTAGTTTTGGCTGACAGTTAGTAGGGTGGAAATACACAAAAATTAAAACAAACAACAGGGGAGATTTAGATTTGCTTTAGTTTTGTGCAAGTGCACTGGCTGCAATAGGGGGGAAATAATAGCAACAAATCCATTTTCTTTCTTTTAGTTTTCAGTGGGAAGCTTCTGGACTCTGGCTTACTTTGAGGTGAATAAACTGGGAGACCTCTAAACCTTATAACCAGGGTTTTCATAATTTCAGGGATGCACACTGTTTCATCTCATTTGGAACATATAAAATGAACAATTCTGTGAAAGGTCCTTTAAGTCCTTAGCCCAGTTTCAAGTAGGCTACGTCTGCACTGCAGGCTTCTTGCGCAAGAACTGTTTTGCGCAAGAGTTCTTGTGCAAAAAGTCTTCCACAAGAGCATGTCCACACTGCCATGCGCTTTTGCTCAAAAGATGTGCTTTTGCACAAGAGCATACATGGCAGTGTAGACACTCTT